CTGGCCTTGGACACTTCCAGGGATCCAGGGGCAGCCACAGCTTCTCTACCCAACCTGTGCCAGGGCCTCCCCACCCTCCTAGCCAGGAATTCCTTCCCAATATCCCATCTCCATGTATCAAGGACTGGCAAATGTTCAGATCCAGTCACCTCATGTAAGGGAACATCACACACTGGTTTGGGTTGGAAGGGACCTTAAAGCCCATCCAGTGCCACCCCCTGCCATGGGCAGGGACACCTTCCACCATCCCAAGTTGCTCCAAGCCCGTCCAACCTGGCCTGGAATTCCCTGATATTTGTGGCTTCGCATCCCTCTGTTCCCATGAATCTCCTGGTGTTCTTTGTCCCCCCTTTCTTGTTGCTGACACTGGAATTGGTTGTTTCATTCCCCACCCAGTTAAATCAATCTGATATTTATCCATGTTATGGTCCAGAAAGAAGCTGGTTGTATCCCTCTAATCCCACATCTCCAGGGTGACACTGGGAATTGGATACAGGAGAGCTCAGCAGATACAGAACTGAACTACTGGGTTGTGACTTGATGTTTGGAGGAAAACTCCTTGTCCTCTGCTGTTTGAATTGAATTTTGCAGGAAAATGCTGGAGCAATGTGATATTTAATGATATTAAATGCGGTATAATATATTAAATATATATAATATATGCAGCTTATATTGTACCAGCCATGGTGTGGGCACAGGCCCAGGGCAGGGATTGTCACCCTGTGCTGGCACTGCTGAGGCACCTCCAGCCCTGGGGGCACTTCTGGGATCCTCAAAGAGGAGAGACACGGAGGGGCTGGAGCGTGTGCAGGGAAGGGAACGGAGCTGGGAAGGGGCTGGAGCAGCAGGAGCAGCTGAGGGAGCTGGGGGGGCTCATCCTGGAGAAAAGGAGGCTCAGGGGGGACCTTCTGGCTCTGCAACTCCCTGACAGGAGGGGGGAGCCGGGGGGGGTCGGGCTCTGCTCCCAGGGAACAAGGGACAGGAGGAGAGGGAACAGCCTCAGATTCCACTAAGGAAGGTTTAAATTGGATCTCAAGGAAAATTCCTTCCTGGAAAGGGTTGTTCATCCCTGACCCAGCTGCCCAGGGCAGTGGTGGATCCCCATCCCTGGAGGGATTTAAAATCCCTGTGGATGTGGCCCTTGGGGACATGGGTCAGTGGTGGCCTTGGCAGCGCTGTGGATGGTTGGACTGGATGATCTCAGAGGGCTTTTCCAACCTAAAGGATTCTGTGATTGCAAATCTGAAGGAATGTTGGATGTAGTGGTTTGACCCCACTCAGTTGCTGCTCGCCCTCCACCTCCTCAGAAGATCTGGAGGGATTTAAAATCCCTGTAGATGTGGCCCTTGGGGACACAGGAAGGACATTGAGGTCCTGGAGCAGGTCCCGGGAAGAGCAACAAGGCTGGGGAAGGGACTGGAGCACAATTCCCATGAGGAGAGGCTGAGGGAGCTGGGGCTGCTCAGCCTGGAGAAGAGGAGGCTCAGGGGAGACCTCCTCACTCTCTGCAACTCCCTGACAGGAGGGGGGAGCCAGGGGGGGGTTGGTCTCTTTTCCCAGGCAACTCTCAGCAAGACAAGAGGGCTCAGGGTCTTCAGCTGGGCCAGGGGAGGTTTAGGTTGAAGATTAGAAAGAATTTCTTTGCAGAGAGGGTGCTCAGCCATTGGAATGGGCTGCCCAGGGAAGTGGTGGATTCTCCATCCCTGGAGGTGTTTAAGGACAGACTGGATGTGGCATCAGTGCCATGGGCTGGGAACCACAGCGGGGTTGGATCAAGGGTTGGACTTGATGATCTCGGAGGTCCCTTCCAACCCAGCTGATTCTGGGATTCTATGACATGGGTCAGTGGTGGCCTTGGGGAACAGTTGGACTCGATGGAGTGATTTTATATTCCAAGTCACCTCTGAATTGAGATCCTTTGAATCCCCTGACTGAACCTTTCCTCTTTTCCAGGGCGCCCGAGAAACCTTCGAGAGCTACTACAGGAAGCAGAGGAGAAAACAAGCCCGGCTGGTCCTGCAGCCTCCTTCCAACATGGTACCTCCATCCCTGCTCCCTGGGGCATCCCCAAAATTCCCAGTGGCTCTTGGGCCACCTCGATTTTAACCTTTGTCCCCTTCCTCTTTTTGTTGCAGCACGAAACCTTGGACGGCTACAGGAAGTATTTTAATCAAATTGTAGGGTAGGTGTTCTTTTTATACCCTTTTTGTACCCTGGGCTCTTGAGGAGCCCAAAAAAAGGGAATGTTGGTATTTTTGATGGTCCTTTAGGCCAAAAAAGAGGGAAATGAAAGGTGGTTTGTGCTTTTTGAGTGTTGCAAAGTGGATTTTATAGTACCAATGGGAGTGTGGAGGGACCTGCCAGCTCTTAGAGCAGCCTTTGGATTTCTGGGAATTTCTGGGAATTTGAAGATAAATCACCTCTGTGGGCTCTTGCCCTGCTGATGAGGGGACCAGGCCCTCTACCTTAATTATCCTTGAATATTTAATAATTATTTTGTGATTATTTTCCTTGGAAAGGAGGTGATTCTCAACCCCCTGCTCTTTATTATCACTCCCAAATTTTTACTCAAGTCTTCCAAACCCATCCCAGCTCCCAGAGGAGACTTCCAAAGATTTTTTAATCTTTCAAACCCAGGGGATAATTGGTTATTTCATCACCATATGTGCTAATAATTTCAATATCTGGTTATGACCATCACAAATCCAGTGCTGGGCTGGGTTTCCCCGACAAAACACCCTGAGATTTTTGGTGTTTGGGGAGTTTAAAACATCCCCTGTCCCTCTCCCTCCCTAAAAATATGGATTTTTGGAGCAGCACATTCCAGAACTTGGGGTTGGAGTGAACTCCCTGGCTTTAAATGGTTGTGAGGGTTTGGTGGATCTGGGTGGGAGAGAGGATTTTTCCCTCCACTTAAAACATTTTTCCCTGGAGTTAAAGCATTTTCCCTGTAAATAAAGCCCTTTTCCCTCTAAATAAAGCCCTTTTCCCTTTAAATAAAGCCCTTTTCCCTGTAAATAAAGCCCTTTTCCCTTTAAATAAAGCCCCTTTCCTTGTAAATAAAGCCCTTTTCCCTGCAAATAAAGCCCTTTTCCCTGTAAATAAAACATTTTTCCCAGCAGTTAAAGCATTTTCCCAGCAATTAAAGCATTTTTCCTTGTCCCTAAGACAGTTTTCCCTGCAATTGGAGCATTTTCCCTGCAGATAAATAATTTTTCCCTTCACTTAGAACGCTTTTCCTTGTACTTAAAACACTTTCCCTGCATTTAAAGCCTTAAATACATTAAACATTTAAACATTACCAGTTAAAACATTTTTCCCTTTCCCTAAAACATTTTTCCCTGCAATTTGAGCATTTTCCCTGTATTTAAAGCCTTTTTCCCTGCCCTTAAAACATTATTCCCTGCAGTTGAAACATTTCTTCCTGCAGATAAAGCATTTTCCCTGGAAATAAAGCCCTTTTTCCTGGAAATAAAGGCTTTTTTCCCTGAAATAAAAACATTTTCCCTGCAGTTAAAGCATTTTTTCCTTGTAGATAAAGCATTTTTCCCTGTCCCTAAAACATTTTTCCCTGCAGTTAAAGCATTTTTTCCTGCAGATAAACCATTTTTCCCTGTAATTAAATCATTTTTCCCTTCAGTTAAAGCATTTTCCCTGCAGTTGGCGCATTTTTCCCTACAAATAAAACTTTTTTTCCCTGCAGATAAAAAACCCTTTTCCCTGCAATCAGACCGTTTTTCCTGGCATTTAAATTATTTTTCCCTGTATTTAAATTATTTTCCCCTGTATTTAAATCATTTTTCCCTGCAATTAGATAATTTTCCCCTGCATTTAAATAATTTTCCTTGCATTTAAATTATTTTTTCCCTGCATTGAAATCATTTTCCTCTGCATTTAAATCATTTTCCCCCTGCATTTAAATCATTTTCCCCTGCATTTAAAACATTTTCCCCTGCATTTAAATCATTTTTCCCTGTATTTAAATAATTTTGCTCTGCATTTAAATAATTTTCCCTGCAGTTGGAGCATTTTTCCCTGGAGATAAAACCCTTTTCCCTGCAATTAGACCATTTTTCCTGGCATTTAAATAACTTTTCCCTGCATTTAAAACATTTTCCCCTGCATTTAAATCATTTTCCCCTGTATTTAAATAATTTTCCCCTGCAATTAGATAATTTTTCCCTGCATTTAAATCATTTTCCTCTGCATTTAAATGATTTTTCCCTGCAGTTAAAGTGTTTTCCCTGCAATTAGACCATTTTCCCCTGCAGATAAAACCCTTTTCCCTGCAATCAGACCATTTTTCCTGGCATTTAAATAATTTTCCTCTGCATTTAAATCACTTTTCCCTGCAATTAGATAATTTTCCCCTGCATTTAAATAATTTTTCCCTGCATTGAAATAATTTTTCCTTGCATTTAAATAACTTTCCCCTGCATTTAAATCATTTTTCCATGCAATTAGAAAATTTTTCCCTGTATTTAAATCATTTTCCCCTGCATTTAAATAATTTTGCTCTATATTTAAATAATTTTCCCTGCATTTGGAGCATTTTCCCCTGCTGATAAACCCTTTTCCCTGCAATTAGACCATTTTTCCTGGCATTTGAATATTTTTCCCCTGTATTTAAATAATTTTTCCCTGCAATTAGAGCATTTTTCCCTGCAGATAAAACCCTTTTCCCTTCATTTTTCCTGACGTTTAAATAATTTTCCCTTGCATTTAAATAATTTTTCCCTGTATTTAAATAATTTATCTCTGCATTTAAATCATTTTTCCCTGTATTTAAATGATTTATCCCTGCATTTAAATCATTTTCCCTGCAGTTGGAGCATTTTCCCATGCAGATAAAACCCTTTTCCCTGCATTTAAATAATTTTTCCCTGTATTTAAATCACTTTTCCCAGCAATTAGATCATTTTTCCCTACATTTAAATAATTTTTCCTACATTTAAATATTTAAAATGTGCCTCCAACCCTCTCTTCCCGGATGCGCCGATCCCATGTCTCCGTTCCCGGGGGGATCTCTCCAGGTCTCTCCAGAGCTGGAATGTGATGACAGGGATGTTTTCCCCTCTCCTGCAGGTTCTTCGTGGTGGAGGATCACATCCTGCACACCACCCAGGGCTTGGTCAACAGGGCCTACCTGGATGAGCTGTGGGAAATGGCCTTGTCCAAAACCATCGCTGCCCTCCGGACACACTCGGTGAGTGGGAGCCTGGGATCCATCAGCCCTTTCATAGAATCTGAGAATCTGAGAATCAAAGAATCGTAGAATCACAGAATCAGAATCGTAGAATCATAGAATTGTAGAATCATAGAATCACGAAATCACAGAATCGTGGAATCAGAGAATCACAGAATCACAGAATCATAGAATCGTAGAATCATAGAATCATAGGATCATAGAATCATGGAATCATGGAATGATGGAATCATAGAATCACAGAATCATAGAATCAAAGAGTCATAGAATCATAGAATCAAAGAATTATGGAATCATAGAATCAGAATCATAGAATCATAGAATTGTAGAATCAGAGAACCAGAGAATCATAGAATCACAGAATCATGGAATCACAGAATCAGAGAATCATAGAATCGTAGAATCATAGAATAATAGAATCATAGAGTCATAGAATCGTAGAATCGAAGAGTCATAGAATCACAGAATCAGAATCATAGAATTGTAGAATCATAGAATCATAGGATCATAGAATCGTAGAATCATGGAATCAGAATCATAGAATCAAAGAATCAGAATCATAGAATCATAGAATCCTAGGATCATGGAATCATGGAATTATAGAATCATAGAGTCATAGAGTCATAGAATTGTAGAATCATAGAATCAGAATCACAGAATCATGGAATCATAGAATCATAGAATCATAGAATCACAGGATCATAGAATCATAGAACCATAGAATCGTAGAATCAGAATCATAGAATCAGCTGGGTTGGAAGGGACCTCCGAGATCATCAAGTCCAACCCTTGATCCAACCCCGCCATGGTTCCCAGCCCATGGCACTGATGCCACATCCAGTCTGTCCTTAAACACCTCCAGGGACGGAGAATCCACCCCTTCCCTGGGCAGCCCATTCCAATGGCTGAGCACCCTCTCTGCAAAGAAATTCTTTCTAATCTCCAACCTAAACCTCCCCTGGCACAGCTGAAGACCCTGAGCCCTCTTGTCTTGCTGATCTTTGCCTGGGAAAAGAGACCAACCCCCCCCTGGCTCCCCCCTCCTGTCAGGGAGTTGCAGAGAGTGAGGAGGTCTCCCCTGAGCCTCCTCTTCTCCAGGCTGAGCCCCCCCAGCTCCCTCAGCCTCTCCTCATGGGAATTGTGCTCCAGTCCCTTCCCCAGCCTCGTTGCTCTCCTTTGGACCTGCTCCAGGACCTCAATATCCTTCCTTGGCTGTGACCTGTCATGCTTTAGTATTGACTTGTTTTAATTATTCCTTGTTTTCCCTCTGTTTCCAATGAGTGTTTGAAGAACAACACAAAGGCACATGGCTCATTCCCATTCCCTGACTGTTTTCCCCTCTCGATTCACTTCTTTCCCTACAAAACTCAGTATTTTGGAGCAGCAAACAGTGGGTTTATGTTCTCCTCGTTATTTCAGTGATGGTTTCTGAGAAGCACCAGCAGAGGGAGTTGATTTGTCCCCAAAAAAGGGGGGGGAAAAAGCATCTATTTGGCACATTCCTGGGGAGGGACCAGGGACAGCACCCAGGGAATGGCTGGAGCTGTGCCAGGGCAGGCTCAGGTTGGATCTCAGGGAAAGGTTCTTCCCCCAGAGGCTGGTTGGGCACTGCCCAGGCTCCCCAGGGCAGTGGGCACAGCCCCAAGGCTGCCAGAGCTCCAGGAGGGTTTGGCTGATCCTCTGGGGCACAGGGGGGGACTCTTGGGGCTGGGCCTGTGCAGGGCTGAGGGTTGGACTGGATGGTCCCTGGGGGTCCCTTCCAGCTCAGGATGTTCTGTGATCTGTGAAATCCTGGCTGGGATGAGCTGGGTGGAAGGAGACGCCTCCACTCGTGTGTTCATGGTCCTTTTATTTGTAGAGGAGTAGTGAGGGACTGACCAGCAAAACAGGTTGGAAGATGAGCTTAACCAGGATGGTGGAGACATTCCTGGCCAGGACAAGGCAGGATTGGGATTGTCCTCCTCTTCCATGTGCTCTTTGAGCCGTGCAGGACACGTTTGGCTGATCCTCTGGGGCACAGGGTGGGACTCTTGGGGCTGGGCCTGTGCAGGGCTGAGGGTTGGACTGGATGATCCTTGTGGGTCCCTTCTAGCTCAGCACATTCAGTGACTCTGTGACTCATTGGAGCGTGACCCAGTTGGATACAGGATTCCAGAATCCTGGAACGCTTTGGGGTTGAAGGAACCTTAAGGACCATCTTGTTCCCTTAAAGTTCACGGCCTGAATGAGCTTAAAAAACCAAAGCCAGTTGCAAAAAATGTACTTTTTTTGCCAGTTTTGTATCACCTGATGTGATATTGTGCTGGCTCAGCATTCAGCAGGGGGATGGAAAGTTCTGACAAGGAAAAGGCAAATCTTGTGATGTTCTTGAGGACTTTGTTCAGGGAGTGTTTGGACAACGCTCTCAGGGACAGGGTGGGATTGTTGGGGTGTCCTGGGCAGGGCCAGGGGTTGGACTGGATGATCCTTGTGGGTCCCTTCCAGCTCAGCACATTCTGTGATTAATGAGTTTCCACAAGTGTGTTTTTAAATTGTTGGGCCATTTTCTCCATGAAATACTAAGTGTTGAGGCCCTGATGCCCCACAGCCCCCACAGAGCAGGGGCTGCAGATCTGCATCTGATGGGGTGTCCTGGGAACGTGGGGGGAAACCTGAAGGTTCTTTGCTGGGAAAACCCTAAAATTTCTGTGTGCAGACACAAAAAGCTGCTGGTTCCAAACCACACCGAGTTCTGCAGAATGTGCTCATGACTTCAGCTTGGCAGGTGGGGATAATCCATGGGGATAATCCATTGAGTGACAGGACAAGCAGGACTGGCTTCCCACTGCCAGAGGGCAGGGATAGATGGGATATTGGGAAGGAATTCCTGGCTGGGAGGGTGGGAAGGCCCTGTCCCAGGTTGGGCAGAGAAGTTGTGGCTGCCCCTGGATCCCTGGAAGTGTCCAAGGCCAGGTTGGAGCAACCTGGGCTAGTGGAAGGCCAATGGCAGGGCCTGGAATCAGCAGGATTGACAGTCCCAACTCAAACCATTCCAGGATTCTGGAGCCCCTCTGCTCTGGAGCCAGGCTGGGAGAGCTGGGGGGGTTCCCCTGGAGAAGAGAAGGCTCCAGGGAGAGCTGAGAGCCCCTTGCAGGGCCTGAAGGGGCTCCAGGAGAGCTGGAGAGGGACTGGGGACAAGGCATGGAGGGACAGGACACAGGGAATGGTTTCCCAGTGCCAGAGGGCAGAGTTAGATGGGATATTGGGAAGGAGTTGTTGGCTGTGAGGGTGGGGAGGCCCTGTTCCAGGTTGGTCAGAGAAACTGTGGCTGCCCCTGGATCCCTGGAAGTGTCCAAGGCCAGGTTGGAGCAACCTGGACTAGTGGAAGGTGTCCCTGCCCATGGCAAGGGGTTGGATTTAAATGGTCTTTAAGGTCCCTTCCAACCCAACCCATTCCATGACTCTTCTCTTGATCTGGAGCTCATGGGGCTGAGGGACCACAAGAGCTTCCCGGTGTTCCCTGACTCCATCCCAGCAGTTGATGTGTTGCCTGGAAAGCTGCCTCCTTGCCCTGAGCTCCCGTGTTCCTAAACACAGAGCTGAACACCCCACTGGGTTGTAAACCCGTGTTTGTTTTCCTTTTAAGTGGGATTTGCTCCAAGGTGGGACCATGAGGGGGGGCCCACGGGGCTCCTCAGTTCCCCCCTGGCTTTGTTGCCCTCACAGGTTGTTTTAAGTGATGCCAAACTTGCTGGGTGAAGTGGCTGCCAGGAGAGGGTTTTGCAGGAGTCAGGGAGCATTCCATGATCTCTCAACACTGCTCCCGTGGTCATCACCCTTTTCCCAGTGCCCTCCATCCCATACTGGGGCTCGAGGGGAGCTCTCACCTTGGGGGGGTTGTTTCTTCCAGTTCAGCCTGATTTATCCCTGGATTTTCTTCCTCGCTGCAGACAGGGACATCTTCTATCACTTCTGAGAGCTTTAGGGCGTTATCTCTCCTTCTGACTCTCTTTTTTTTTTTGGACATTGAGCTGGAAAACGTGTGTCTTCCAGCCTTTCCCACTGATTAATGGAGTTGTTCCTCCTGGAGTTTCCAGCGAGCTTTAAATCTGTTCTCTTTAAATCTGCTTCTCTTTCCAGCTCGTGATCCCTGATTCTATATTTGGGCAAAACCTGCCTGAGACTTTTTACATATTTCAGCACAGGGAGGTTTTTTTTCTGTGTCCAGAGCGAGCACGTGGGGGGACAGGGGGTGGCTCTGGGGGGGGACACCAGCGCTGTCACTACGCTCAGTTGTGTCTTTGGGGTTTTGAGCAGTGCCCTGACCTACAATAAATCCTCGTGTTGGAGTTCTGACCACTGGTTTGTTGGGATACAAGCTGATGCTTCATTACCATCAGACACAACACGGTAAATATTGGATGAGGAGCTGCTGGCGTCCTGCTCTGACAGTGGTGTTGATTTGCTTCGTCTCCCCTCGCTCTCCCAGCAGCTCCTGGGAAATCTTAGAGACACTTCAGGTATCTCTGGAGCACCCAAAGTCCTTGTTCATCATGGAGAGCCTGGAGAGGGGCATTAGGAGGAGAGATACCCTTATCACCCACCCTGCCCTGGCCCTGGGGTGACACTGCTGCAGGATAAAAGCTGCTGGTCATAAGGCCCTGAGTTTATTATCACTCCAGAGATAACACAGGAGGGCCCAGGGCAGGATTTTTTTCCCTGTTGTGCAGTTTAAACCCATGTTTTCCTTTCTCCCCTCCTTTCCAGTCCTACTGCTCCGACCCGAGCCTGGTGTTGGACTTGAAGAACCTCATCGTCCTCTTTGCTGACACACTCCAGGTACACAGTGGGTGGGGACCACTCCTTCTCTCACTCCATGGTCCTGCTGCCCACAGATGTGCCCACCACAGGGTTAAACAACTGCTGGGGGCTGGATGTGGTGGCTTGGCTTCTTTTTTGGCACATCAGTGCATGGATTGTGGCACCTGAGGGACAACCTGCTTTGCTCGGGGCCTCAGAGTGGCCAAGGACCAAACCTTTGATAGTCTTTGGTCCTACCCTTGGTAAATCAGCCCCTAGATCCCTCCACCAGCACCATTCACCTCTGGGCTGGGGGTAGAAGAGGGTTTGCCCACGTGCTCCCTGTTGAATAGAGAAAATAAATCTTCACCTGCCCGTTGGTGGCTTTTTTTCCCCCTGAAGTTGCTCTCTTCCCTCATCCCAGGGCTATGGCTTCCCAGTGAACCAGCTCTTTGACATGCTCTTGGAGATCCAGGACCAGTACAGTGAAACCCTCCTGAAGAAATGGTCAGGAGTTTTCAGGTAAGAGGCTCTTCCAGCAGACCCAGGAGATGCCCCTCACGAAGGCGTTTTGTCCCCTAAATAAAATCTTTTGAGGGATTAATCAGAAAATCACCAAATGTTTTGGGTTGAAAGGGGGTAAAGCTCACCTCGTTCCACCCCCTGCCACGGGCAGGGACACCTTCCACCATCCCAAGTTGCTCCAAACCCCATCCAACCTGGCCTTGGACGCTTCCAGGGATGGGGAAAGCACCATAATTGCAAGTTCATGTTTAAATTTTGGGCAGCAGTAAGGTTCAATAAGATCCTAGGCTTTTCCTGGAGCAGGGAGAGCCAGTTTAAATAGAGTTGTGGGAATCCTGTGTGTGCTGAGATCGCTGCAATAAATCCCTGTAGACCAAAGGTTTTGCATCCCAGAGGGACAAGGTCATGGCTTCATTATGGAGCTCACATGGACAGTCAGGAGATGGAAGGATGCAAAAATCCAGGGTCACAGTAAAGTTAGTGTGGAAAATGGACATGGAGCTGCTGGAGAGAGTCCAGAGGAGGCCCCGGAGCTGCTGCCAGGGCTGGAGCCCCTCTGCTCTGGAGCCAGGCTGGGAGAGCTGGGGGGGTTCCCCTGGAGAAGAGAAGGCTCCAGGGAGAGCTGAGAGCCCCTTGCAGGGCCTGAAGGGGCTCCAGGAGAGCTGGAGAGGGACTGGGGACAAGGGATGGAGGGACAGGACACAGGGAATGGCTTCCCAGTGCCAGAGGGCAGGGTTAGGTGGGATATTGGGCAGGAATTCCTGTCTGTGAGGGTGGGGAGGCCCTCTGCCAGGTTGGTCAGAGAAGCTGTGGCTGCCCCTGGATCCCTGGAAGTGTCCAAGGCCAGGTTGGAGCAACGTGGTCTAGTGGAAGGTGTCCCTGCCCCTGGCAGGGATGGAACAGGATGATCTTTAAGGTCCCTTCCAACCCAAACCATTCCAGGATTCCATGATATTGTGCCCTCACTCCATCACCAAGCCATGGGTGTCTCAGAGCATCAGTGGCACATCCCTGTGCTGCTCCTGTGGGTTTGTGGGATCTCATCTTGAACTCGCACCTCCTCCTGGGAGCTTCCTGACCCAGCAGAGCTGTGGCTCCTCTCCTGCCAGAGCTCTCTTCCTCACTTTTCTTTCCTTTTCCTAGAAATATACTTGACTCAGACAACTACAGCCCCATCCCGGTGTCAAATGAAGAACTTTATAAGAAAATAGTTGGACAGTTCCCATTCCAGGATGCTGAACTTGAAAAGGTGAGTCTTGGAATGAGTCTTGGAATGGGGAAAACCCCACACCCTCAGCAGGGACGTGGAGAACTGCAAATGGAAGCATCAAAAACAACCCAAATCCACCTCCCCACACCAAATAAACAGCAAAAAATAAAGCAGGACCAAGGAACAGAGCAAATATCCCTTCCATGTGTTGCATTTTTCCGGATGTGGATGAGGAAAACCTCCTTGGTTTTGGTTTCATATCAGGGTGTGCAATCAGCTGAGCAGTCCTTGCAACGCACAGGAGACTAAAAATATCCACTTCCACTGGTATTATTCCCATTTTATGAACCATGTTTATGACCTTTATTTGTCTTAATCTCATATTTAAAGAAAAAGAGCCCTACAAGGTGGTTTATCTTGGATTTTCCACAAGTGCCTGCTCCCAAAACTGATGTGTGTCCAAGTCTGATGTAGCCACTGTCCCTTAAATCTTGCTTGGCCTTCTGGCACCCAGGAAACTCCATCCCTGGGGAACTTCATTAGGAATGGGAAGGGTTTTGATCCATATTTCAGGAAGGCTTTGTCCTTCTCCCAAAATGAAGTCACGGGGTCTGGGGTCTGACTGTGTCACCACATCTCCCGCCGAGTGTGTGCTGCAGGGAAGAGCTGGGTGGGAAATTTGGGGTAGGAAAACCTGTTTCCTGTTGGGTTTTGGTGTTTTAAGCAAATTCTCACCTCGGGCAGCACCTGGGGGAGGTGACCAAGCAAAACACTTTGTGCATGGAGGGAGAGAAGCGTCAGGTAGTTCTCCCGGGGGGTGTTTTCCGTTGAGGGAGGGATTTGGGAAAAGGAATGAGGGTCCTGTTTTCTGCCTGCTCCCTCCGAGCTGCAAATCTCCTTCCAGGCTCCAAACCCCTCCTGCACTCCATTTGTAAGTGATTCTGTGGCCTTTCACTGGGCTGAAGTGTTTATCCAACACCTTGTTGTCTCCTTGCTGGACGTGGCTGAATCCTGGGATCGATCCGACCACTCGGAACACACTGCTGGAAAAGCAGTCGTGTGTCTCCTGGTGGATAGCTGCCTTTGCATGGAATTCTCTCCTGTGTTTTTTTTACAGCAACCCTTTCCAAAGAAGTTCCCCTTCTCCGAGTTTGTGCCTAAAGTTTACAATCAGATCAAGGAATTCATCTACGCCTGCCTGAAGTTCTCGGAGGACCTTCACCTGAGGTAGGACGTTCACACCCGGGGTTCTTTGCACTCAGAGAGCTCAGAGGTTTAAAATATAAATTCTTTTCCTCAACTTTTCCTGTTGTTCAGCTGTTTGGATAAACCCTGGCCAGGCTGGAGGTGGCTGGTGGCCTCCTTGGAGCAGTGGTTGGTCATGTCTTCAAAACTACCTCGTGGAGGGGAAAGTCGTGGAATGGTTTGGGTTGGAAAGGAGCTTAAAAGTCATCCAATGCCACCCCCTGCCATGGGCAGGGACACCTTCCACTAGCCCAGGTTGCTCCAAGCCCCGTGCAGCCTGGCCTTGGACACTTCCAGGGAAAACAGCCCAGGACAACCCCAGCTGTGTAAAAACTGAGGGAACCGTTTCCTCTGAAAAGTTTCTGGAGTTGTAGGAAATAAATGAACCTGGTTGTCTCAAGAAAGGTTGTGGTGTCCCAACTCCTCGTTGGGTCAGGGCCTCCTAGAACACCTCTGACCTCCCCCTGGCCCTCCCCCAGGCTGTGAATCCCATGATTTCACAGATGTGTTGTCAGGAAGGCTCTGAAGGGTTTGGATTTTTGTGCCTTAATGAGTTTCGGCTCCTGGTTTCGGGGCTTTGTTTTTCTTGCTTCTCCTGGGAGTTTACATACAAATAACGCGATTTTTTTATTGCTTTTTAAAAGCCTGCAAAATATTCCAGGTGTTTACCCTCCTCTCTCCCCATCCCAAGGTGCTTTGATGCTGGTTTTACCCCTGTGTACGTGTGTGAGGTTGAAAACCAACTGTATTTGCCAGAAACTGCGAGTTGGTGCTTTTTTTTCTTGCCCTCGGAGTCGTTTCCAGCTTGGTAGAGGCAGAAAAATTGACAACCAGGGTTTTACTGGAAGCAGGGATCCTTCTTCCCTTTGAGATTTTTATTGGAAGGAATTATCCTTCTTCTCTTCCACGTGTAGAGCTCTATTAGCAAGAGGTGGGAGTTGCAGGACGGAGGTTTCATATCCTGGCCATGACCTGACGTGGAGCTGCTGCAGAGAGTCCAGAGGAGGCCCCGGAGATGCTGCCAGGGCTGGAGCCCCTCTGCTCTGGAGCCAGGCTGGGAGAGCTGGGGGGGTTCCCCTGGAGAAGAGAAGGCTCCAGGGAGAGCTGAGAGCCCCTTGCAGGGCCTGAAGGGGCTCCAGGAGAGCTGGAGAGGGAGTGGGGACAAGGGGTGGAGGGACAGGACACAGCGAATGGCTTCACATGGACAAAGCACAGGGTTAGATGGGATATTGGGAAGAAATTCCTGTCTGTGAGGGTGTTGAGGCCCTGGCGCAGGTTGTCAGAGAAGCTGTGGCTGCTCCTGGATCCCTGGAATTGTTCAGGAAGTTGCTCCAAGGCCTGTCCAACCTGGGATAATGGAAGATGTCCCTGCCCATGGCAAGGATTGGAAGTGGTTGAGCTTTAAAATCCCTTCCAACCCGACCCATTCCACGATTGCCCTGGTGCTGACATGAAGCTGGGCCAGCACTCTGGGCCCTCCCCAGACGTTTTGGAGCCCAGGTTTGAATTCCCTCCCTCCCAGCCAGGGACACTGATCTGGGGAGGCACTTTTCCCCCTCCCTCCCGCCGGAGGCCGCGGCAGCTCCGCGGTCTCCGTGGGATCCCGGGACGTTCCTCGCCCCACGTTCCCCCTCAGCCTTTCACCAGTGGCAGGTTGTTCTCTTCGGTGTCTCCCGGGGCTCTTAACCCGGGGGTCACCACGAAGCCTCTTGGTTTCTGGGGCCGACACCTCGCTCCCATTTCACACGGACACTGCTTTCACCCGACCCCTCCCCTGGCTCTTCCCCCCACCACCAACCACCTTTGTGCCCCTCACCATTACTGGGATGATTGGCTTTGTCAGGGAAGGGAGGAAAACCGTCCCCTTGGGTCCCTCCTCGGGGGTCCCCTTTGGGCAGGTTATTAAAATTCCTTTCGACATTTGGCTTTTCCAGCCCTTTCTGAGGAGCTGGGGGATGGGAGCCCCGGCTCTGCCTTTTTTCCGAGCCGAACATTTGGAATATTTCTCTGAAAACCCCTGTTGACACTTTCTTCATTTCACCCTGACAGCTTGAATTAGGTTTTATTAGGGAGCCTGGCTACAAAGCCGGCAGCCAGTTTCCTTTCTCTTGCCTTTCTTTTTCTTCCTTGGTTGTCATTTCTGTCACACCCCGGAGCGATCGGGGTCAGCCCGTCAGTCACGGGGGGCCTGGAGGTCACAGCTACTGCCACGGGATACAGGACATCAGCTGTCATTAACCCAGACAGTTCCCTTCAAGATTCCGAGCTCTTTTCCCAAAGAGCAGAGCCCGGGGTGGAAAATGGAGCTTTTTTTTTTTTTTTCTCTCTAATTATTATTTTTTCGTAATTATTTTTTTAAACTCCCTCCTTGTGTTTGTTGATGGGAGTTTTCTCCTGCTCCCATGAAAGTTATTTTGT